GGGGGTGAAACCCCTACTGCGGCTTGGGCCTCGGGGATCCCCGCGTGACAACCCTGCCGGTAGTCGACACAGGGGAGGCTATTAGTACGAAGCTGAAAGGGGGTAAACCCAGTGGATTCGTGAGGGGTGGCCCGGTGGATCCCGACGATCTGATATATGATCTCGGGCCACGGACGCGTGTCGTGTGCCGCTAAATCCCTGCGAAGGGCGGTTTTAATCATACGGTTGGCGTTCTCAGCCAACCCGTTTGACTGGGACACGTGGGGGGCCATATGTCGGAGCGTGACGCCCCTTCGTGCGAGCAGTTCCTCTGCTTCTCCCTTAAATTCGGACCCATTGTCGGTTAGAATTTCTTCCGTATCTAGATGAGTATAGAGGAACCGATCGAGGTACGTGGCTATTTCTGCGGCCTTGCGGGTCTTACAGGGATAGACCTCGATGTACTTGGAAAAATGGTCAATTAATACTAAAAGGATAGAATATTCACAGCGGTTTGAGCCAAGTGGCACGTCGATATCTGTTGTGTCCATAATGACTCGTTGGAAAGGACGCTCTACTTCTGTTGGTACTATCGTGTTTGGTCCCCATATTGGGGTGCAATCAGCGGCACAGACCAGACAGTTGGCGATAATGTATCTTACATCATCTCGTATGTTGGACCAGAACCATCGGTTCTGGTCTATAGTTGCCTTCGTGATACGTATCGCAAAATGAGCGGCCTGTTCTTCGTGAGCAGATCGGATCCAATCATATCTCTGGAATGGATGGGGAACCGTCAACCACGAACCCGATCCGTCAGTTTTACGCTTCTCCAAATGACCGTTGATCCACCGATAGTCCCGAGATCTCTCGGTTGCCCTACGTCTGTCGTGTTTGGTGAGGTGTCCCAATGATAATCCTACTAATTTCGCCAATAAAATTTTATCCGTCCAAACGTTCGCTCGTCGGTATTTTTCGTCGTATTCAGGACCGTCCGTACAGGCGACCTCGAATCGAACCTCCGTGGGGAGTTTGTTCTTTCTACACAGGGGGCACCTCCATTCCTTGTTACTCGTCCGATATCGAACGCAGGCTCCGTGCGCACGATTGACACACGTGGCGCATTCTACCCAATCGACAAACCCTGTTTCGAAAGGATGACAGTCGACCCCATAAACCCGTGCAATACACGTACAAAAATAGCAGAATTTATCGGGGAGGGTGGCAAAGAAAGCTGAGGAAGTAAGAGGGGCAGAATTAGTAGGAGAGGAAGGGGTTGCAGAGACAGGTGGGGTAGTCATGATGACAGAGGAGGAGAGATGGGACCGAATTGCGAAGAGGGTAGAATCAGTCAAATTGATCCTCGTGTCACTTACTGCTTGGACAAGATCTCCACTTGGCCGTATCGAGGTCCAACCTCCTGTTCGGGTTCGTTCCACGGAATCACCTCCTCACTCTTCGGAACTTTCTCAGGCCGGTGCAGTCATGTCAGTCCGTCCGCATTCCCGTGTCTCTCGTGCTTTCGATGACGGATGTCAAAGTCCATGCTCTGCAGCACCGTTGCCCACCGCCCGATCATGCCAGAGTAATCCTTCGACTTCTTCAGAGCCAACAGGGGCTCATGATCGGTTACCAAGGTAAACTTCCGTCCGTACAGGTAAGCGCAAAAGTGACTGATTCCCCAAACAACCGCGTAGCATTCTCCCGTCGGGGCGGTGTAGTTGCGCTTGCAGGCGGGCACCGATTTAGACGCATACTCCACCACGCTCTCGAGTCCACTTGGTCCCACTTGGGCAAGGATAGCTGAAATTGCCTCTGGCTGCCAGTCAGTGATGAGAACAAAAGGCTTTTCGGGATCCGGTCTTATAAGGACCGAAGTCGAAATGAGAGCGGCCTTAAGTTTCGAGAACGCTTGATCACACTCCGGCGTCCAGATCAACGACTGATCTTTCCGCAGCAGATTCGTGAGGGGTCCCGCGATCGTCGCGAATCCCTTGATAAATCCTCGGTAGTACGAGGCCAGGCCCCAAAAGGCGCGAACTTGCGTGATAGTCGTAGGCACCGACGCATCTCTGACAGCTGCCACCTTCTGGGGCTCTGGTTGGAGCCCTTTGTCTGTTACCACGTGTCCCAGGAAGGAAATGGTGGTAAGAAAAAACTGACACTTCTCAAGCGCCACCTTGAAACCCGCATCTCGTAATGCATGCAGAGCCCACTTGATGTGCTGTACGTGTCCCTCGTAGGAACTCAAGTACACCAGAATGTCATTCATGTATACAATCACGCAGTAGTTGATGATACTCTGCGCCAAACGAGTCTTCCGCACGAAATTATTAAAAGCCATATTCATGGCTCGCTGAAAGGTCGCGGGGGCGTTGCAGATACCCATCGGACATCGAATCCACTGCCACGTACCTTCAAAAAGCACAAACGCCGTTTTCGGACGATCTTCTTCTCGGACAAGGAGATTATGGAACCCATGGTGAACATCAAACTTACTGAAAAATCGGGCACTCCCAATCGCATCCAACAACTCATCGATCCGGGGGAGGGGGTACACATCTTTGATCATGATATCATTCAATTTTCGATAATCAATACAAATGCGAATCCCTCCGGCCTTTTTAGGCACGATTACTACAGGAAAGGACCATGGACCTATAGTGGGTTCGATCCATCCATTAGCTTCGAACTCCTTAATCCGCTGAAAAGCGGCCGCTCTTTGAGCTGGCGAGTATCGGTAAGGAGCGCAGTTAATGGGTGGATGTTCTCCTGTGAGGATGACATGCTCGATCACGTTAGTCAAGCCGATATCATTATCATGCACGCTCAGCACCTCTGCATAACCGTTCAAAACATCCATTAGTGACTTTCGAAGTTCCGCGGGGACGTGGCTTGGTAGGGTGATCGTTTATTCCCCAGGGGTCTTAAGGGGTATATCGATCCAATCAATCGGCTGCTCCCTTCGATCCTAAACACTGGAAAAGACATAACTGTTGGTCCGAACAGAAAAGACGGTCGCAATCATCTGTGATTCAGCGGGGCTGATCATTTCGGTTTCTTTAGCTTCGGCGTCCGTTTCTGAATCTGCCGAAATCTGCTCCACAGTCAGTCATGTTAGGTCCGTCATCTCCTGCATTAAATCAGGCACGTCATCTACCGGCGCTTCTGTCTTTTGTTTAATCAAAGCGATGGTCGCCCTCGTTTTTAGCAACGATCGGGGCGGGAAAACAGAAACGTTTAGATACTGTTCTGTTTGTCGATAACGTGTTCGTAAGGAAAGAGCTTCATCGTACAAGGTACGAGGGGGTTCCAAATCATCAGCCAGGTCAGACACTTGTAATATGGGTTCCCCGAGGAGGACTAAAGGACTGACCTGGGCTTTCGGAGGCGCAAGCGTGCTGTCTTTTGAATCCACGTGGAAGCTTCGGGCTATGTCGGGACACACTTGAAATTCTTCGGGAATTTCGTGTTCGAAAAGCTCGACCAGGTGCTTCCATTCATCCTCACTAGGCAGTTTTTCTTCGTATTCATGTTCCCTGATTCCGTTGCCTATGTCCGAGGAAGAATACCCATCGGCATCGATGCATCGAATCATCCCTATTTGGGCTGAGTTAGGAGTTCGTTTTATCGTTCGGATGGAAATTCGCAAGGGAACAGTTTGGGGTTTTTCCCCAGTTTGCGTGAGCACCAGTTGCTTGGAATCAAAATGCAAACGTGCTCCAAGCGCCATTGCCCAGGGTAACCCTAATAGTACAGAATAGGAGCTTACGTCTATCACGAGCGAGTTAACGAGGACGTGTACTCGCCCAACTTTCACAGCCACATTCTCAATAACGCCCACGATGTTCATTGTTTCCTCGTCGGCAGAGACATAATTGTCTTTGCCAGATTGAGGAAGAATGGATCCGAATCGTCCCGTCTTCATGACAATGTCTAATGAGATAACTACTGCAGAAGACCCTATGTCGATAAGGGCGTTAAACGGTTTGCCCCAAACTTCACAATCATATTTCGCACTTTTCCACAGTACCGGCCGAGCTCGTACAAAGTGATTTTTTTATGCTAAAGAGATCGCTGCTACACGTGCGGCTTCGGGTTCGCAGGCTTCGGGTTCGGGTAGTGCAACATCCTCTCTTTCCTCCTCCTTCTTCTTTAACATTCGTTGGATGCGCTGGTACGTGAAGCGCTTCTGATTCTTCTAACAATGTTGCAAAAGTTTATCATTCGCCGCTTTGGATATGGTGAGCAGATGTCCCACCGGGATCGGAACATGGATATCCAATTGCTTGAGTGCTTGTAACACATCAATTTCTCCCTTCCGAAACTGCGGACCTGGATTGGACTCGCGATCGACCCATTCGGGGTCCTCAGGGGCAGATCGGATTGCTTCGATCATTCCTGCAAGATGAAGATATTCGAGTGGATCGACCACGACAGCAGCGTCAGCGGAAGAAGCTCCCGATGTCGACGCCGTTGCCGTCGAGGGGGAAAGCTGTTCTCGAACATATGCTACGAGTTCCCCTCCTTGGGCCGTATCCATCAATGCGGCCACTCGTCCTTGATTCAGGGCCACAGGGGCCGCGGCAGGTGGGGGCTGATTACGCTTTGGCTGCGGACAGTCTCGGGCGAAATGTCCGGGCTGTTTGCAGTTAAAACACTCAATCTTCCCCGCTGGGTTAGCTGGGTGAGGGAACTGAGGTGCGTATCYTGGTGCAGGCGGGGCAGGCAAAAGTGGAAAGGACGCGGGAGCAGGCCGAGCAGAGGTCGGGTTAGGCTTAATTAGCCTGCTCATTCTCTGTTCCATCCGCTCCATATGAGTGGCCTGCATTTGGATCAAGTTGCTCATCCATTCAGACTGCTTGGTAGTAGCCGTATGGATGATTTGGGCAAGATGTAAGTTGGTTATGGCCGGCGAGGGAGGTTCGTGGGAGATTCCGCTATCGGTTGATTCACCGAGGGAGAGGAAGAAGAAATAGACGGAATATCCGAAGCGATCCCGTTGGGAAGGTCATGATCGGGGTGGGGATAAAACCGTTCTACCGCTCGCAACCATGATCGCCTTTTAGCCGTTACATCCCGTATGGTATCTGTAATGTCTTCGTCTCCCTGGCTGATATACTTTCTTGTATCAGCCAGGTCCAGTTCCAATGCTTTAGTGATGATAGTCGATAACTGGTGTGTTTTCGGCGGGACCTTTTTCTGCAGTTTGCCTTTCAATGTAGGACTTCGTAGATGGTCGATAAACAAATCTCGAGCGAATTTCTCGTCTCGCCCAGATTTGTCCAACGTGGTTTGAAATCGATCCACGAAATCGGACAGCAATTCCCCTGGTCCTTGCGGTCCAGTTTTGAGTACGTACCAGGTGGCATCTTCACTGACTGTATCGAATCGAGCCAATAATGCTTGTTTGAAAGTATTCAAATCTACCCACGTGTGCTTTCTAAACCAGTCATGTGATATATTACGGAGTAGCAAGGTAAGAACGCGGGAAAGATCACCCGCGCTATAACCTTGAGCTTCAACGGCTTCCAGCCAAGCTTCGGGGTGGGTATGATTAGGGAAGAAGGGGAAGGGGGCAGGAATACTAACCACTACCCTATTACCGTCCACCATTGGTATAGCTGGTATAGCAGCATCAGATATAGATCTGGTCACTGGGCGATCTCGGCGAGCGGGTGGGGGACTTCTTCTTCTACCTCTCGCCAGTTCGACTTACTCATCAGAACCGACACGTGTCGGCTCCGATACCAACCTTACGCTCTGTGCTTTCTTTCGTTCGGAGTGCTTAATGTGCGGAAAGAGATCCAGAAAAACAACAAGATGGGGTGTGCCAAGGATTTTTGAAAATTGAGTGTGGGGACACAGACGGAACTGAAATCCCCCGTGTTGGTCCGATGAAGTAAGTTGGTTGCTTTCGCGCGTCGCGGGAATGCGCGTACGGACACGGCGCGAAAAAAGAAAAATCCAAATTCAATCCAAAAAGTATTGTCGAGCTTCCCACCGCGCTACGGCCCGTCGTTTGGAGCGGAAGGGCTTTGGCACGCTTCGCGTGTCTCGTTTTCGTATCAAATCCCGACGTCGCTCGCTGGTCAGTTCCGAGTCTGATGTGGAGGGTCTCAACCGCGTGGCTCTTTCCTTGTGCTCGTCTTCACTCCGTATTCAGTAGTGGAAACCCTTTGCTTCGTAGCGATCGAAACGCTGGCACTTTGTGCACAGGGTTCGAGGCCAATGGGGCGTCACTGCCGTCCACAGAATGACGATCAGCTCGTTGAATGACAACAATATCGAGTAGGGTGGAAAGTGTGTGTCGATAATCACAAACCCAGCCTCTATGAACCCTGAACAACGGTTTGCGAGAGGGAAGTAGTATCGTCCACCGATCTGTGCGACAACTTCTCGTACGTCCCACTCACATACACGCGTCCTTTCCTCATTGTAAGTAAAAGGTCGTGTTGATACGGGAGGTACGGGAGGCTGACGCCCGATCGAAGGGTGCTTGTCAGTCCACATGTCAATCAATTGCAAAAACTCTGAGACGTCATCAAGGAAAGAAATGCTCTCGCAACCACCAATCAATCCTTTTTTAATCACGAGAGAGAGAAAACACTCATCAATTGGGTCAGGTGCAGGTGTCGTGCAGTATAAGGCAGATGGCATGCGCAGCGCACTCAGAATTACAGATCTAAACACTCTTGCATTCTCGGACAAGATCCCGACAACAATCGTCTAATCAACTCCAAAAAGACACGTACCTTCATACATACATTCACTGTGGAAGGTGCGAAAATGAGATATGCACGGAGATAAAAGATGGATCACTGAATAATACACGCGCATCCACCGTTCACAA